CCCCCTCTGGCTTCAACCCCTGATGTGAATACCTTAAAATAAATGTATGCTGCTTTAAAGCCAGCATTGACCATAAACTACAGCAGTGGTGCTCAGATGTTGCAATAAGACAACGTCTTGTTTCGCGTTTAGTCAAATTTGATCATAACTAGCCCTTTGAGAGCAACAGTAACGTTCATGTGGCCCTCTGTGAAAATGAGATTGACACCCCTGATTCTAATCTGTCTATCTAGATCATAGATTAGGATTTTACTTGAAATATTTTTTTATCAATTTTTTTTGGTTTTCCTTCCTTTTCTTGCTGTGACTAAACAAGTACCACATTGTTAAAGTTCTAAAGAGAATATGAGCATGATATGATTTCACTTTTAAACAGATTCAGGGCAGYAAAATGGAAATTGAGTTGAAATGAGACCCATTCTTGGCAGAATAAATCAAATTCCTTTGCAAGCAGAATGCCATCAGACTGAAGAGTTTTTTTTCTTTTCATTTCAAGTTCAAAACTCCTACAAAGTCTAGTCTTTATCCAGTTGCTTGACAAATTTCTTCCTGAAGCACAGTCTGTACTAATTCATGGACTTCACCATCAATACTGATTATTAAGACAAGGTTAAATTGATTGCACACTGAACGCTATGGATAGACTGAAGTATTCAAAGTAGTATAATAAAAATCGATTTTTTTGTTGAATTTTTCAACACTAAGCACCACAAACAACAATTCCCCACTAYTTTGTTAAAATTAAGGCTTTTAAAATCGTAAGAAATAACACCAATGGATCTACTTGATTATTTTGTAATGTGGAAAAGCTTCTGTAAACATTTTCTCCAGAGTAAAAACCAAACCTCGGTGAAGTGTGGGATGAGTACAACTTTTGATCATACACGTGATTTCTCCAGGAAAGAAAACCGTGTTAAGGAAGGCTATTTTATTGTGCTCATTTTAAGTTTTCAACAAGAAATAAAAGAAAGCCTCTGAGAGATCCAATGGCAGAGCATTTTTTTCCTCTCTTTGAGCTCCCTCTTCTTTTCTCGCTCCTGAGTCATTTGATAGAAGAAATATAACACAAGCTTCCACTGAGGTGTTCCTTGCAGCATGCTCCATTGTCACGGCCGTCTCGTCAATAGTCCCTCAGTTTGTTTCCACTTTCTGAGCACTGCTGTTTCAAAGACAGCTTTTCTTCATCAAGGCTCAAAGAATAGCACTGCTGATTGTGGTCACTGTAGACTGGTTACTTCACCCACCTTCTTGTTGGTGGATTGTTCTGGATGCTACTCTCTGACACAAGACAAATTCAGGCTGATTCTGTTCATGAACAGAATTTAAAAAAAAAGGAAAAAAAAAAGCAAAAGTCATAATTTAATACATCGCTACATTTATATAACCTTTACTCAGAGAATGCTCAAGTGAGGCTTAAGAATCAAGCAACTATAAAATTGCCGTCAGGAAAGTAGTTTTCTTGTTTCTGTTTTAGCTTTAAAATCAACGCTAAAGTTAAAAAGATGAAAGAAAYCAAATGTTTTAAGGCCGTTGTTTAGTTAAAGCCACAATCTGGGGCGTTTAATGCACAACCAAGCACAGCTCAAAGGTTTTCTTACTGAATGGTTGGATCGTTAGAGAAACCGTCATAGCTGCTGCAGACTAAAGAGAAATAATAATAATAATAAAACAACCTTTTTTATCTACACAACAAATGTGCTCTGCAGTGCTACAAACAATGGGGATTTTACTAACCCATGATTATGGCTTTAACCAGGATTTAATGACTTGAGCATTCTGGACTTATTTAAACAGATAACTATATTATTTTACAGTGTTTCAGCACAGCAATGAACATTTTATTGTTTGCCTGCTCTGTTGTTCTGTTGTGTTCAAGGTTGGAGTCAATTCTGTTACATACCAAAAAGCAAAGTGAGAGCAATTTGCTCTGAATGTTTATTCAAACATTCAAATCATAGTCAATAATCTGAATACTACAGGATTTGTTAGCTGCAAAATCTGCTTAATTTAATTTTTCTTGACTCCATCCCTGGTTTACAGTCTTCTTATTTATGAGGAAGCAAAGTTTCTGTAGATTATTCAACAGTATAACACATGGCCATGTCTATTTTTCTCCCAGTGCCTAAATCCTGCAGATATTTTTTATATATTACACACAGCATCTTCTCACCAAACACGTGATACTAATTACACTTTTCACATAAAATTTCATCAATACTTCAACAAAAACAGCTGCAGTGACTGCTTGGTCTTTTGTCACAAGCTGTTTTTTTTTGTTGATTTTAATTTGGTCAATTAATTTAGTAGAAAAGCCAATTATTATTTTATTTATCTCCGGTTCTGAAGCACTTTTAGCAATCTGAATGCTGTTCTCTAAAGAGAAAACAAGTCGAAAACAAAGACCTCTCTGCTCGTACATCAGAAACCAGCTGCAAAACAGAGATAACTTATCAAAGAATACATTCATCTCTTTGTATGAACATGATTGCATGAGTGGGTGTGTGCTAATGTAGTGACTGTGTGATGGTGGGTCCATGCAGCCCCTCCGGCATACATTAGACAATCATGTAACCTCTGTTTACCTGCTCATGAGAGGTAAACATTTGTATTTTATTCTAAAAATATTTAATTTCCCACTAAAATCAGCAAAATGGTTATTTTTTTACTGAACAACAGAATAAAAACTTCCTAGATGAAAAATTAAGAATGTCATTTCATCATTTCACAAAGAACAATCCATAACAGGGATTGTAATGGATTTTGGCAGCTGCATGGTTTCAAGGGTTTGCTGTCTTTTGTTTAATTTCCTCCAATCTGTTCTTGGCAAATCTCTCTCTCTCTCTAGTTTTAACAGTGGCCACTTGACTCAAACCCCTGCGAAAGCACAAGTCTGTTTACAACTCTCAGCACTCGATGGGTATGCAAGAGGTTAATCCTCATATAGAACCCAAAGATGGCGTTGCCTCTACATAGCCTTTCTATCTTCAACACAAGTAGGGTAGATTAAATAACACTTTGCATTATAGCGACACATTACAATAATACTTTCACATTAAATCTCCTTACAAGCCCCTAATTGAGTCTAGTGTAATTAAGCACACACTCAAGTCATCTTGCCTGTGTTGGGGAAACTTCAGTACCTTCTGGACAGCTGGGTGTACAGTAGGGTAACTATCCTTGAGTCAGCTGCCTGCATGCTTTGAAGTCTTCATAACTTTGTAACTCATCTCCTTTGAAATATGAGAGTTTATTAATGTAACAGGTGCAGCGGTCATGCAGGCTAAGTTTTAACAAAGTCTACACTCTTGGTTTTGATGGTACACAGGATTTTCCCTCCAAAAAAAAAATAAAAAAAATAAAAAAAATTCTCTACATGAAGATATAGTATGTTACTTTTTCACCTCTTTACAAAGTTTTCCCAAAGATGTGTCTCTATATGATATATAGCTTCAAGCTGCAAAACAAATTTTGCTGAACATTAAAATGTCTCAGAAACGATTGCGATAAACAATAATATTGTTCTGAGACCTTTATAAACTAATAAAATGAAGCCATCCCCACCCCCACTAATGAAGCTTATGGAAGTTTATGAAATTGTGTAGGCCTATGTAAAAAAATAAAATAAAACTCTTTGGGACTGACCAGAGATCGGAAGAACAACACACAACAGCTGCTTTAGCTGTAAAATCACTTCCCACCTCCTCTATTCTTCCTCTGGCGTCATGAACAAACTGTGGTCTCCCTCATGCTGCTTACAAAATTTACTGTCCTGTACAAAATTTATGTAAATTTATGGACGGAACATGAGCGAAGTTTGTGGAAACAACACACAACAGCTGGTGAAGCTGTAACATTGCTACCCACCTCCTCTATCCAAGCCAGCACAATTCATTCTTTTTGCGTCTTCCTCTCGCTTCGTAAAATAATTGCAGTCGCCCGCGTGCTATTTAAGAAGTTTCCAAAATTTATGTCCTGTAAAAAAATACTCTTGGCTAACCCAAAGTTCATCACAGTTCCTTGACCAAGCCTTGAAGTGTTGGAAAACTACCCTCTAGCTAAACACCTGTTCATGGGGCCCTCGTGTTGCAGAGGTTATGAGATCATGCACCTGGCAACTACCTGACACCAGAGTCCACTCCTCTTTATGCTATAGAAAAGGGGGAGACGCAAAGAAACAAACAAGCGGGCAAATTAAACTTTTCATCCTCTTTTTAAATTTATCTACCTCATTGTAGTTTAGCATGTGATTGATTTATTGCACATCAGGACAGGCCTAGCTGCAATTCATTTAGTCCTCTGTTCTAGGTCATTCTTTGGGCAATGATGAAAAGGCAAGTTTGGTTTGTTCTCCTGACACATTTTTCTAAGCATGTGATAAACCATTTTCTTTGATTATAATGGGATATTTTGACCTTCAAAATACATCACACAAGGAAGCAAAGTTTGCCATCCTACTATTAAACAAAAAGCCCATGATTTTCTGACGCAAGCTGAAAAACATCCATAGCATGGTCCTGGTTATGGTGATGTGTGTGTGGGTTAGGAGTCAATTTACTACCACAGTACTTTGGTCTCAGAAAATGATTTGAGGATAGAAGGGGATCAGTGAGCCAATGATGGTGGATTTTTTTATTTTTTGTGCAAATTGTAGTTCGGTTTGGCAAACTGACATGTACTGATGTGAAGCAGAAGAGGTTAAACACTTGTGATTTATCAAGTTGGCACTATGGCACCACAGTGGAACCAGAGGAGTCCCCCCCCCCCACCAAAAAAATAAATAAAATAAAGAATAGCTAAAATCTTGGGAAGAAAATGAAATGTTCATAAAACACAGTGGAACCTACAGTTTTATCAAAAAGGAAGCTGAGAGTTTTAGCTCGTTCCCTAAAGGTCGTTTTATGATTTTGAACAGTGCAGGTATGCTTCCCTTTTGGGAATTGGACATTCATCAAGATAAGAACTTTTTTTTGTTCAATTTCAAAATCAAAAACGTACCAGTGTAAGCAAGCAGGTAGACACTTAACATGGGACTCCGATTTCTGAAAAGTCTGAAAGATTTCAAAAACCATGTAGTACAAACAAAACAGTCACCTCTGTGGCAAATATAGAACTTTTCTGTCATCTGTACAGCGTTACCCTTTAGGAGGATGAGAAACATGTGTTAGAGGTTTACCAAGAGAAAAGGCCGACTTGTTTTTGGCTCAGAAAAAAGAGAGAGCACATTCCTCTTGTTGAAAAGGACTCAAATGTCTGTTGTAATAATGTTTGTCTTGTCATTTTGTGCACTTCTCAGTCAAGAGGTTCAAAAACAGTGGGGGGAAAAACACGGTCACACAATATAGCCATGCCATAGTCAAGTAATAAAACTATAATGATCATAGGAATAAGAAGAAGACCAGTAATGAGAATAATAATAATGAATTATATTAACATAATATACTTTTTAAATTCTGTATTTAAAAACAKTGGTGAGAATTAGTTAGTACACAGTAGGGCTCTACTACCCCCTCGGTTGATTTGGCACATTATATTCACTCTCCGGTAAGAGCTACCTACGTAATCTCAGCACAGTTAGATATTACTGTTGTCTGGCGACCCATCCAGAATGAGTTGTTTTGATGTTTTTAGTCTCAGACATAGCAGAAATGTTTTTTCAAATGTCTGCTCATCTGCCTGCACCACGGATGGTGGAACGAGGAAAAACCTCCCCAGCAAAGCAATTCTTGATCAGTCCCTGTTTTGAGGATTGCTGTGTTTGGGAAGGTTCACCTACAGCAGCCATGTTTGATGACGTATCTGCTTTCAGGATGGGTTTTCCAACAACATTTAAGGTTTCTATTCTTTATATTGATTCTATTTCTATTCAATCAAAACTTACAAATAGCTACATAAGTCTGAGCTATAATTTCCATTACATTACAAAAAAGTAACTCAGTCTCAATTATGTATTTTTTTTAACTCTGTGTAATATAATTGTTTGGTCCTCATCCATATTCTGGGAGGAAAAAGGCTTAGTTTGTGTAAAGTGTGTGTTTGTGTGTAAACATGTATGTGCAATGTGGTCCAGTGGGTCTTGTGTGCGATTGTGCATATTTACAGGTCTTTAATAAAAATGTCTTTGTAGCTGTGTCAGTATGTAATGAATCTAGTGTTGCTGTTCCATGTTCAAGGTATTTGGGGTCTTCAAATATGTATTTAAGCTTTCTGCTGGGCAGACACACCCTTCCAGTAGTCAAGTATGTCATGAAGATCTTCATCCTTGGCAAACTGAACTTTTCGTCTCAATGCGTGTCCAGCCGCCACATACCCTTCATCCTCCAAGGAGGCCTGCCGGTGCCTCTTACGGTGCAGTTTGAACCTCTCCCAGAGTCCGAGGGTAGGGGTGCAGAGGAGCCCCTCCTCCTCCTCGTCTTCCTCAGGACTGGAGCAGTAGCTGAGGTTGTGGTACTGGGGCGAGAGCGGGTAATGTGGTGAAAGTTGGGAGTAGGCTAGCTCGCGCTGCTTAGCCTGTCTGCTGAGAGTGAGGGGATCCAACACAGAGGGTTTCCGGGCCCCTGGGTGGTGATGGAGCTCCTGCAGGATCTGCGGGTGGTGCTGCAGCTCCTGGAGGTGCTGCTGGGAGCCGGGATAAGAGTGGCGGTGTTCGTTGTACTGGCGTATTCGCTGGGCTTCAGCTCGTAAGATGGCTGCAGCAGGGTTAGCAGTACGAATGGCCTCTCTTTCACCACCACCTCCTCTTTCCCCAGGTGAGGTTCTCTCGATGTACCGGGACTCCGAGGAGTGGTACCCTCCCTCTGAACGGAAGGAGCGAGGGCTCCGGGCAGAGCCAGGAGAAGAGGAGGTGCTTGGCCTTTTGGAAGTTGGAGGCGCTTCCATACTATGGTGTCGTTGCAGCGTGTGATGGTAATTCCTCCCCCTTTCTTCTCTCCCTCCTCGTCCTCCTTTATACACCGGGGAAAGGAACTCGCCTCCTCTTTCTCCTTGCTCAGATAGAAGTACAAGCTGTGGCTCTTCATTTGAAACAGCTCCTCCACCCGCAGAGGGAGATTTGATTCCTTGTTGAAAGGACGTGGACTCAGACTTGAGAGCGTCTATACAGTTGTTAATTATCTGGTTAACTTTATCAACTTCTTTAGCGATGGTGGAGATCTCTGCCACTGAGCCCTGTGGGTTGGCTTGTGGTGACATCTCCCTCTCTCTCTCCCGTTCTCTTTCCTTTTCAATGCCAGAGCCTCTAACCTCCATGTAGTTAAGTTTGGCAGACTTGTGCCCTGGTGTTTCTATCACTTCCTGCAGCTTGTATGGATCTATCTCACCGCCCTGGGGCAGGTAGGGCATTCTGGGCAGGCTGTCCCCTGYAGCAAGCTTTTGTGAAACAGATCCCCCACTTCCTCCTTCTATATCTCCCTCTCCACCATATTTGAGCTCTATCAGAGTCCTCTGGATCCTGTTCATCTTTCTCTCCTTCTCTTCCATGATCCTCTTTTTCCTCAGGCAGTGAACGACAAGGCCAAGGAAGAGCAGCATGCCAAACAGACATCCTAAAATAGTCATGATGTAGTGGGTGGCGGACGACTGATTGGGCGCCTTCTCTACCCCCGCTTTGCCGCGAGTCGGGATGGTGAGGCAGGTGTGGTTGAAGCGCAGGGAGTTTCGTATGGAAGCCACACAGAATGTGTAGTTAGTGTTTGGTTTTAGGTTCTTCAGTTCAATGTCTTCTTTTTCCTTCTTGAGATTTTGAATGTCTGTAAAGAAGCTGTTGTTATAAAGCATTAGGATGTACATTTTTTTGTATGGGTAAGGAATCTGAACGGTTAACACATAGAGTGAAGGTGAAATCTGTTTTACGGTCATGACTGGCTTGGCATCGGGGAAAATGGAGCTTGAGCTTATGATCTCATCAGGAGGGGTCCCAGAAGCACAGTCATCCAATCCACAGGGAGAGACAAAGTCTGGCATTTGGGGGGTAGGGTCGATCACGTAAAAAGGTGTCACGCTACTGCCGTCGTCTACACATGCAGTGTTGAGTGCATACAGAGCGTTGCGCGGTGTGGACATGAGTGGATTCTGGCTCATTAAGTTGTATCCAGATAAACCTTTAGGGGTGTCACACACCATCCTCTCACTGGTCCTGTTGGGGAAAGCTGAAAGCCAGCGCAGGAAACCCAGGAGCTCACAAGAACAGCTGAAAGGGTTGGTGTAAAGTTCACAGGTGGTCAACTTGGAGAGCCCAGAGAACAAATTCCCATCCAGAACCTGGATCCTAAAGTTGGGCACAGAGAATGAGAATTTTAGGTAGAAAATACACCTTTTTAGGTCACACATGGTTTAAAAAAATCTGATTTGGGTAATTTCTGCCTGCAATCAATGGTCGATATGATGTAGATGGCAACAGGTGATTTTAGAAAGATGACACCAGTGCTTACAACTCTTCAGTTTCTTCACTTTTTTTGTTTAGATACGACGTGCCTACAAGAGACATTTTATACTTTTTTTTTCAATTTACCATCATATAACAATTTGCAAATATAAGGACTCTTGCTATTTTTGATCTAGAAATGAGTACAATTAAATATTTATAATCTTTTAAGTCTAAAAAGTTAAACCACTGAGCACTGTAGCTCAGTGGTTAGCACTGATGTCTCACAGCAAGAAGGTCCTGGATTTGATCCCCAGGTTGGACCTGGGGTCTTTCTGTCCGGAGATCATATGTTCTTCTTGTGCATGCGTGGGTTTTCTCCAGGCACTCTAGTTTCTCCCACGGCACAAAAATATGTAAAATGTTGCATTCAGGCCCAGGCCACCCTTGCAAAAGAGATCTGTGATCTCAATGGGATTTGCCTGGTTAGATAACAGTAAATAAATTAAAGTACATTTGAATCAGGATTGTTTCCATTAGTTTTTTTTTCTTCTTTTTTTCCAAAACTGATAGTAGAAACCAAAATAAACAGTAATTAATTTCCTTATCATTAAGGAAAGCAGTAGCTTTCTTTATCTACATAATAATTTAACATTCTTTACATGTTCACATATGAAAAAAACTAGCATTAAACACTTCAAGTCACATTAGCAGTGTTAATAGTAATAATTTAAAAAGGTCACAGATTAAAGGCACAGTGTGTAGGATTTGTTGTTTTCAGTGACATCTAGTGGTTGAGTGGTTGAATCATCCTCCCTGGTCCTCCCCCCACCCCCACCCCCCGCTTCCAAATGCAAAGGAGTTGCCACGGTGTCTCTCAGGTGTCAAAAACCTTTGATAATTCCAAACGCGATGTCTACCAGCAGCTTCAGGGCTAGTGATGTTTCAAGTGGTAAGATTATGAGCTTTAATAAGTAAAAATATACCAGCTATGTTTACATGCACAAAATGTTTTTATCGGATTGAAATGTATTCAGATTAAATAATCCGAATGTACAGTTTACATGGACACAATCCGACCATGAAAATTGTTTACATGCACCGGAGTTTTATTCAGAATAAAAGTCCGGACATGCGCAGTGTTGCAAACTTTCAGCTCTACTTCCGTGTTACAAACGTAAACAAAGCTCCTCTGTGCGCTTAGGACTGACCTGTGTCAGCTTTTAATAACTGTAGAGACGCCGTTACTCCTCGGTTGAGCTGCAGCCTGCAGATGAAGCAATACGTGCTTTTTGTTTTTATTTCTTGCAAAGCAACGTCTCTGCTGTTTGCCTCCTTTTTTATCTGTTAAGAGAGCGAGGAGGAAAAGTTCTGCACGGTGCAGCGCAGCTGGAGCGCTGCTGTCCCACCAGGTGAATGAAAGTCAGCAGACATGCACACAGGTCAGTTTTCTACAGTCAGAATAAGATGATCCGATTAAGTGTTTACATGAACCTCATTCCGATTATCAATCGGCATAACCCACCYTTTTCATTCGGATTAAAAATTCATTCGGATCGAGCTCAATCGGAGCAGAATAATCGGAACGGGCTGTTTACATGACGCTGTTTACATGACGCTGTTTTATTCCGAACGGCTGTTTAATCCGATTACTTTTGTCCATRTAAACGTAGAGACAACAAATATTACATTTATAATATTACAACTAAAACCGTTTTTGACACCGCCACCGCAGTTTGTCCTTCATGAGCCTTCGTAGACAAGATGGCGGTGCAAGATGGTGGCTGCCTGTGTGGCGACCCGCGACCATGGAGATATAAACAGCTTTTTATAAGGTAAAAATAATAAAACAAGGTCTTTGTCGGCAATGATTAGACATGTTTTTTATTATTGTCATTAGTGATTATCTCAATTTCGGCTAAAAGAATTGACTAAATCCTACACACTGTTCCTTTAAAAATGTAAAAGTATTTTGTATTTAATGACATATTTTAGCCTTGGTTTTATTTACTTTGTGCCTAACATAATTTGGTTTGTTAAAAATTAAACCTTCATTCAGCACAGCTACAGCACGTTTTCCTGATGCTCTCACACAGATGTGGGTTCAGACAGTACCTGTTCATGGACAGGTCTATGTTCTCTAGGTTGGGACACTCCCAGAAGGCGTTGGGTGAAACAGTCTCAATGAGGTTGGCTTGCAGGTAGAGATACTGCAGCTTGCCCAGGCCTCGCAGCATCCCCTCTGTCAGGTTCCTCAATTTGTTAAAGCCCATCTGGAGAACCTGGGGAGACAAAGACAAGTGGGATTATCCTAATCTCTGAAGAGTCATTCTGTGCCAGGACGCTGCTCACTACAAGATGGAAACAAACAGAACAAGCGGCTGACGCTTCAGTATAGCTAGTTTTTCACATGGTGATCTAAGCCGCAACGCTGCGCCGTGTTTACTCAGATCTTTCTTGTTCACGTTTTACCTCCTGGCATCGCTCCGGCAGCTCGGGTAGACGTGTAAGCATGACAGCTCATTATGACTCGGTATGGTGAAACTCTGCCTGGATATTTCTGGAAGTCATTCTGCTTTTATTTACATAATAAAAGAAGAATGGAGGCACTGAATCATTGTTTTAAATTATTATTTTAAATCTTTTATTTAAAACGGTTCTTAAAAAAATTGGCACCTTGCAATTATTTTTGTCTTGTCTTTAAAAATATTTCCCCCCTTTTTTTAATATGTGCTTTGTTAAAATAGAAGCTTTTTTACCCACTGTGTTGCATCAGCTGCTCTGTTATGAACACCCTGCAAGCATTTGAAAACTGATCAAACAAACTGCACTACATTTTCTTTTTCTCTGTTCTTGCTTGAAAAGTGATTTTATTAGTTTATTCAATTGGTTCATAAGATATTTTTCTAACAGACTAATAACTTTTGATGACGCTTACCTGCAGGTTGAACTGTGCCGAGAACGCTCCATCTTCCACGTAGCTGATATCGTTCTTGGTAAGGTTCAGATAGGTGAGGTTTCCGAAGCGACTCAGCGATGAGTAATGGACGGACCGTATCTTGTTCTCGTTCAGCCGTAGATCAATTATAGTGCTGTGGAAAGACGTGTAAGGTCTGTAGATGTTTGACTGAAGCTACTTTTTCTTTTTGTTTGTTTTCTTACCTGTTCATATGGGTGGGGATGGCCTCAAAGGGGGGCTGGTTCATGCTGCAGATAGCCAGCCACACAAAGCCTTTCTCCCCTTCGATAAGCCAACAGTCAGCTGTTACCATTGGCAAACGCAGCACTGACAGCAGGACGAGCCAACACAGGAAGGAGCTGGCCGTGGATAAGATCCCTGATGAAGAACCTCCAGCCGTCTTACGCCTCAGCCGCCCTGTACTCTGAGCCATTTGGGATGTTGCTGCAATATCCATTGGAGAGAGCCAGCCAAAGATTTTCRCTTATTCAGTCTTCATCGGTGCTCGCTGCTTGAGCCATTGGAAATGGAACAAGAACTTGTTTTACCTCGTAACGTTTTAAGGAACAGTTGCTCTGACTGTTTTTACATACAACATGAGTGAGTTTCACTTTCTCAGCTGTGTTAAAATGAAGAAATCGGAGAAAACCGAAGGAGGAGTGGTAGCAGGATTGGGATATGGCACTTGACTGGCAGTATGTGTCTCAACCTTAACAACATTAATAGATTAATTTTGGGTCACATTGTATATTTCATGTATAAATTGGCAATTTGAATTTGTCCTGGCGCCAGATTGGTGATCGTGTCTTCTGTGGCCATCCGTTTCCTTGATTTGACAAGCAGCTCTTCTCATTCTTCCTCGCTGCTTGTTGCTCCGTACCTAACGTGAGAACGTGTCCCTGGTGGGAGAGAAGAACAGAGACAAGAGAAGAGGGTTAGAAACAGGATCTCTAATGAAACACAGAGGTTTGTTTGTGAGATACAACAAACCTCACCCTGTTAACATGATGAGACGGAGGAAGTTATTCCCTCTCGCCAAGACGTCTCATGTGGCAAACACACACATTTATTTACGCACACACACTTATTTTTTCTGCTCTGAAGACATTATCTAACCATTACGGTTAGTGTGAACACTGGTGCTGATACACAGCAAGCACCTGCAGATTTCAGAAGCTTATTTTTGCTGTAAATTCACACATTTTCTTGCAGCTCCCTCAGCCTCAGGGCCTTGTTAGGGCTGGGCTAAGAATGGCCATGGCTCTAAATCTGTATCTAATTAGTTTATATGCCCTAAATAAAACACTTCCTTAAAACAAATTTATAAGATGGGAGACTTGCTGCAAGTCTCCTTCAGTAAAAAGTGAGGGAAAATACGGATGTGATCCTCACATGAGGAGGCAGCAACTCTGTGAGACAAAGAGGATGCTGGGAAGAGAAAATGATGCAACTCTGCCTGCTTGAGGAATTTGGGAGAATAAAGGCTGCTGTTTTGAAAAGCCTCCTTCTCAGCTTTAAAAGTAACAAACAGGAAGTGACGTTTGTAGTGATGAAGAGAAGAAAAAGTGATGCTGGAAAGAAATTGGCCATTGTTCTCTACGTATTGACTACAGTTGAATAGCGAGGCAGAGAGGTTCCAATGTGCCACCTCCGATCTGACACGGAGGACAGATATAATCGATAGTTTTTGAGAACGGGACAAAGCTGTTTTGAACTATTTTATCCTTTCAGTCTACTAGCCTCTGTCTCTCAGTTCTGGCTGTCAATGAAATGAGGTTTTCCACCTAAAACATTTAACAAGTTTCTCACATTTCCTGAAAGTCTGCAGCATACTGAGCAGGACACACAGGAGCACAGTGATGTAAGAGTCAGTCAGTGTCAGAGTGGGCTTCTGTCAGGTTTTACTTTGTATTGTCTCAGGCCTGGAACATTCAGACCTTTTGAGGATATATCAGAAAGGCAATGAACAATAAATAACTCACTGTTGATGAAATTTGGAGAACAAAACTTCAAATCCAACTTTAAACCAGCTTGTAAAGATAAGTAGGTCTAAGCCCAAAGTGGCTGCTGTTTAACTCAATCCTCATAAATATCATACTAGTTCATCCAAACACAGATTTAAACCTTTACGCGTACAGTGAGGTTTGCACTGGGTGCTTATTCCAGCAGAAATACAGTGATATTCTTGTGTGAAGTGCCCCAGGCTGCCCTGTAGAGGCTACTCAGCTGCTGCTGATGCTATTTGTCCTTGTAAATAACCAGAAAATTCGGAATCAATAACGGTCTAATGCCAAATTGACAGAAATGTTAAGATGCATTAAATAGTGTTTACGTGAACTGCTATTGAATCTTTGAGTTTAGAGGTGTTTAAAGACAGCAACAATCCACTTTGCTCCTGGCCACAATCAAACTGTCACAGCCGTTTCAGATGTTATCAGTCCATTAAATGGATGTTATTAGTGGTTATCAGTCCCATAGAATGGCTTCAGACTGTCCAGACAGTGCTCTCTAGTGGGTTACCAGTGCCATATACGTTGGAATGCAACAATCTGCTACTGCCGGAGTCAGGTCTTCTTTATCGTAGCCCACATCATTTTCTCTAAAATTAACCTTAGTGGCTTTATGCCTCATATGAACCAGATTGCATAAAAATCCTTAGTGGCTTTATGCCTCATACTAACCAGCTGACAGTCTGAAGCCATTCTATGGGACTGACAACGGCTATTAACGTACATTTAATGAATGATAACATCCGAAGCGGGTGACTGTCAGCTGATCTGTCAGATCTGAATTAAATCAGTTTTTCTCCAAACTGAAGTCATTCATAGAGCCAGCTACAGAAGATAAGATATTAACTGTTCCTAACCTTTTAGTAATGCTTTTATTTAATTTAGAAATGATAAAACAGATTTTTAAAAGTGTTTTATTGCTTTTGTAAAGAAAAATCAATGTTCTGTTGAACCGAAATACTTTAATGGTGTAACTTTTTGAAATCTAGCAAAGGTAATTAAATTTGGGGTATTTTTTTGTTGAACAGTTGAAATGAACTGATATTTTTTGTAGCTGGGAAAAAAACACATCAAACATGGAATTTAGATTAAGAAAAAAAAAGTAAAACGTTCATCAAATCAAAAAGATCTCAGAAGACTATAAAACTGTTAGATAAGACTTTTTTTTCCCAGCTGTAATTTTTCAGGAAGGGTTTCATAATTCTTGAAGCCTTGAAGCTTCAGTTTGAGCCCTCTACATCAACATCACAGATGAACACTGGCATCTTTAAGTGTTTGTGGGGGTGGAAGGCCTTCCCACCCAGTCAGCACAATCTATAATTGATGGTGAGACTTCCTCCCACAAAGCACCCAGTTCAGTCACCAAACAGAGYGCAGGAACTGTTGCCAGCTACGTGCAGGCTTCACACCGGCACAGGAAATGTCCATTTTGCTGACCGAGGGGTTGAGCTCGGGTAAACCAACTGTTGAGGGTAAAACCACAGGGTGCAGTCAGGAAGCGGAGCTGGGAACGGTCCAGACGGCAGATTCCTCGCTGACCCCTCTTTGCACTGAGCTAAGTGAAGTCAGCTGAAGGGCCAGATGATGGGATGAGAGTGCAGGCCAGCAGAGAGCGAGATAGGCTTGCACTCGCCCCCTTTTTAAAGTAAATACACATGTAGCAGCTAACATGATACATGCAGAAGGAACTGTTAAGAGGCTGTCGACCTCTTTTCCATTTTGCATCATTCATCGGCCTCCTTACCTCACTCCAAGCTCGCTGTGTGTTTTCACACAGGGGGGCAAAGCCTCAGCTGGAGAACAACCCCGTGGAATATTCCAGCACTCAGCATCATGACCGGCTCACTCTCCTGTCATGTCACATTAAAAAATTTATACAGTACAAACCGTCATATGGTGAGCGACTTGAGGTGGCTCTAACCTTGTTTTACAGAAAGGATGATTGCTACAGTGTCAGCCTCAGTTATCTTTGCATTTGTTGTGTACTTTTCTTGTTTTTTTCTATAAAATTCTTGGTGACAGCTGTGTGTCACATTTCTGACAAACAGATTCGCTCCTGGAATGAGGTTTTCTGTAGAAAGACATACAGTATTTTGTTAAGGAAAATAATCTGCCTTTCTACAGCACGAAGTCTAAATCGGCTAAAATGGCAGCACAAAAAACAAAGTAGTTGACAATAAAGTAAGATACAAAAGAGTACTTTAAGCTTTCTGAACAACAAAACATCTTCATATCTGAAATTCAGTTCTTCTCCCAGACATTTCTGTGTCATTGGATTATCTAAAAAGCAACAGGAAAAAAAGATTTACATTACAACTTAAAGAGTTCTGAGAAGAGATTTAGAAAGCACAACAAAGAGCTTAAAAAGTACAACAAAAAACGGTGCATTTTGTCAAGGAGGATTATAACTTTTCTTTACTTCTGCCAAAAGATTTACAATTTTCTTACTGTTTGTGGCAGGAATACAAGGACTGCCAGGTTGTCTGCTGTGAGGGAAAATATGATTTTATTTCTGTCCCTAATACTGCAGATTTGTCATGTTAATCTGTCACATGATGCTGGGTCAAACTGCCATTTTTCACTGATCCTACCTGTCCTGACTCTGATGAAGACTGGTGTGTTGATGAGCTGTATAAATCTTTTACACTCATTTTTATTCCAGCAGACATTTTCTGCTGTCAGGCTGTCAAGTGTTTCACTTCAGAAGTTTTTTTTCTTTAATTTTAAGCTGAAAAATTACAGATTTTTTTTGTCTCACTTATTTTGTACACAAGACAACAACACAATGCAGAACACATGAGCTACACTGCAAACATTGTCCATCAAAAGGTCCTGTCACACTAGAAAACGTATGCCAACTTATGAATATTTTGAAGACATCTACTTAGAAGATGGAACTGAGAAAAATCAACAGGACGTTTCATTTCAGTGTGTACATAATGTAATTCAAACAAATTGATTAAATATATAACTTATTAGCAATTTAGACATAAAAATGTTTCATACGTTGTCATAAGTTGTCTAGTGTGACAGGGCCTTAACCAAGTCATACACTCATATATCCAGCCAAAAAGCCTTTTTGGTCTTGTTTTGAGACTGATATTCTAAGCAAGAGAAGAATGTGTGAGATTATTAATCTTGTTAGCCTGGAATTTTTTTTTCTTATTTCATAAAGTCTTACCAAGTGCAATTTCCTTATTGCACTGGCAGATTATTTCACTTTTTCATTTGAGGAAAAAAAAGATGAGTAAGTCCTCTGGACAGGTTTTTTTTTTAATGAAATGTTTTGTCTGTCCTCCAAGAGACTTCTTTAGTCTGAGGAGTTTCTGATGAACTCAAACTTATAAGTTGTGCCTGGTGGACAAACAGGTTTGACAATGACGATCAAAAACTGTTCACATATGAAAGAGGACCCTCAGCCTAACAATAGATCGGTAGTGCACTGAATATCCCTATTGTCCATAGAGGACCATCAGCCTGACGATCATTAGTGTTCTATTTATCCCTATTATGCACAGGGGGCTGAGTCATACTGGAAATAACAACATTGTAAGAGGGGGACAACTAGACCTGGAGGCCTCCACCTCCGTTTAATGGTGGATATTTTCTCGTCACAAAAATGGCTTCTTTTACTCCTCTCTCAAACCAACGTTCCTCTCTATCAAGGATGAGAACATCTTCATCCCCGAAAGGGTGACCGCTGGCCTGTAGATGAGTGTAAACTGCAGAGTCCTGACCCGACAAAGTAGCTCGTCTGTGCTGGCTCATTCTTTTGAACAGTGGCTGTTTTGTTTCCCCAATGTATAACTGGTCGCAGTCCTCCTGGCACTTAATAGCATATACTATATTACTCTGTTTTTGTAGGGAAACTGGATCTTTGGGGTGAACCA